CCCTCCATCACTGATGTCATGACCAGCTGAGATTAGATCATCACCTAGAAGTTCCTGAACACCCTCAAAAACTCTCTTAAGGTAAGAAACATCATCAAGATCTGGACACTCATCCCCAATTTGGTCAAAAACCTGAGCTAGAGCAGATCCACCTAATCGTCGCTTCCCCTTTGCCAAATCAATGTGAAGCAGAACACCTTCATTTCCTAGCTTAAGATCAGGAGTTACAACCTTTGTTATGTCAGGACAAGTGACATAGGTACTGATTACAAGATTTCCAGGAGCCTTAACAACCTCACCACCTGCATGAGCAGCCATGGAAAGACTATCCTTCCCCCCATCAATAGCAATACCCAGCTCGATCATAGCCTCTGAAAGAGCTGTAGCAGCATCATACATATCTGCCCCTTCGCCATCAAGCTTGGCAGCATACATCCAATTGCCACTTGCTTTTACATCAGAGAGAGAAGTAACCTTTGCCCAGACAAGGTTTGTGAGAGCTTCCCCAACAGCCAATCTTGCCATTGCTTTTGGATCAAGCAGCCCCTTGATTGGCTGCTCCCCAATGGCACATGCACCTCCAGTGAAGTCCACATAACTTTGAGCAATCACTGCAACATCAGAAAGAGATAACTGCAAAGGACCAACAGTTTGCTGTTGTGCTACAAGACCTGTTACACATCTATCCACTTTTGTTGTCAAGAAGCGTTTTGAACAGACAGATGGAAGTCTCAATACCCTCTTCAAAGAATCCATCACTGTGATCCCAGGAGCAATATCAAGTGGTTCTCGTCTATGAGCCACCCGACAGAATTCAAAGCTTTTCTGAGGCATGGCCCCAAGCACTTTCTCAAGCTCGAGATCCACAGCAGGAGGGGGGGGAGGAAGTCCACTTGTAAGGCTTTTCTCAATAGCTAAGCCATCAACTAGAACAACACGTCCCTCACCATTAATTGTGCCAATAACAGCCATTGGGACCCTTTCTCTTGCACAGATTGATTCTAACAGTTTGCGGCTTTCAGGCTTCACCAAGATGGCATCCTGTTCCTGATACTCTGCACCCCATATCTCCAGAACAGACATGGTGTGATCACCAACAACAACTGCCCGGATATCAATCTCAGCACCCTGTGGGTATATAATTTCCTTAACAACATTACAATTACCACCAGCTCCCTGATCATGAATGCTGATAATTGGGTTATTCTCCTCCATCTCTATGCATGCACGAACTACACGATACAATTTCTGTGCCATCTCAGCATCTCCTCGCTGTACAGCATTGAAGTCTAGCTCTGCATCATTCTGGCCGCTGACCATGCTCGATGCTGCCCCACCTCCCATCCCAATACGATATGCAGGGCCACCAATTTTGACAACAAGCATCCCAATGTCAGGTTCCCCTTTTGATATATGAGTGTGATCAATGTGGCCAATTCCACCACTGAACATGATTGGTTTCAACCATTCTCGCCTCTCACCACTTGGGAGTCTCATTCCAAAAGTTCTAGTGAAACCCTGAATCAGGGGCTCTCCAAATTTGTTCCCATAGTCGGATGCACCATTGCTAGCTTCAATTAGTATTTCCAATGGAGAAGCCAAGTTTGATGGATAACTAAAAGATGCATCCTCCCAGGGTGCAAAAGCACCTTCTAACTGGAGATTTCCAGTCACATAGCCAGCTGTGGATCCAACCACAAAAGACCCCCTTCCAGTAGCATGAGTATCTCGAATACGACCACCTGCACCAGTTTCTGCACCAGGGTAAGGTGCAACTGCACATGGAAAATTATGAGTTTCAGCTGTAAACAAGACATCAATTTCCCGGGTTGTTTCACTTAATGGACATGCTGTTCCGGGCTGCACTGGCCTCAATCTGTATGCAAGGAACCCCCTAATAGCACTCGAGTTATCCTTGAAGCCAATGACACTGTTGTTTGGGTTTGCTGCCAAAGTGCTCTTCACAATCTGCATAAGGGTCCTATCCATAGGTTGTCCATCAATAAAAATTTTTCCAGTGAAAAACCAGTGCCTGCTGTGCTCACTGTTTGACTGTGCAATATCAAACAGTTCCACATTAGTTGGGTTCCTTTTTATGTCCTCCTTGAAAAGCTTAGTGTAGTACTGTAAATCTTGTTCATCAAACGCTAAACCCATTTCCTGATTAATTTCCTCCAATGCCTCCCGTCCCCTCTCCATTACAGGCACACAACGAACCTCCTCTGGAACCACATTGGTCTCAAATGATATCAGCCTCTGAGCATAAACACACTCTGTCATCCTATCATGAACCATCGCAGCAAATTCATTGATTTGATTTTCCGGCAATGCTCCCTTGCTATATAACAAGTACCTCCTAGACCTCTCCAACCGAGTCACCTCTGTCAATCCACATGAACGGCAAATAGAAACAGCATTTGAGGACCAGGCCGTTGTAAAAGACAGCCTGGGTCCAACCTCAACAATTGTAGCATTTAACCCTTCTTGCCTCTTCTTCTCAAGAAAACTCTCTGTTCCCAGATTCTCAGGCTCATACGTTTCACCTAAAATCCACATAAGGGTTGAGAGTTTCTCCGTGGAAATCTCAGAATCAAGCCCTATATTGAAACATTGTTCTGTTTTCAAACCAACAATCTGATTCGAAATCCTTGTCTGACAAGACTTGAGCAGCTCGTTGTTCGCACTTTCTTGAATCAATGGGACTCGGAAAAAATGTATGACTTTCTGAGCAGGCTTTTCAATCAAGCTTGGAGGCTCATAGGCCAAACTACCACTCACATTCCCGGATACTGCCACTCTGGGCTTTGATTCAGCAGAACACCTCAAAGAAACACTCTTTCCATTCGACAAACGCAGTCCTAAGCTTGGATTACAAAGCTTGTCCCATAGCAAACGGCTCCGCAAAGTGCGAGAATTTCTCTGCAAAAAAAGAGTTTGCCTACGAGTACCCTGAAATAAAGAACAAAAAAGTGACACAATTGAATCAATATTTTCTAGCTGAATCAACCTAAGAGAGACGAACAGTATGAAGATTTAAGAATTCTTGGTACCAAAGAACTGGTATTTCAAATTTGCCTCTCTAAAAAGATCCCATAATTCTGATATGATTGCTAAACTCATCAAAAGAGAAAAAAAGAACTCACTTGCAAGAACTCCGCCGCTGTAATTTCCCTTATACCAGCCATTAAAGCGCCTCTGCCAAGAACAAATCAATTTTCCTGAAAAAAGAATAGAGGATAAAACCATCAATATCATCATACCCAAATTCCAAAAATTTTCCCAGAAAGTAAAAGAAAAAAAAAAAGAAAAAGAACAATCAATCTTTGAATCAAACAAAATCTGCCAAAACGAAAGTAAAATAAGAGAAACATACCCTTTTCTCAAGGGAAGTCGAGCAAAAAACAGCGATGAACGAAACCCTTTTGCGTAGAAGACTGACTTCACTTTGAATGGTGAACACAGAAGCCTGGAAAGTAGGGAACTAGGGCTTTAGAAGTACTATTCTGACAGGAAATGAACACTGCTGAATAGGTAAAAAAATTGTGCTTTTAGTCCCCAATTTTATATTTAGTAATAATTTGATCCTAAATAATAATTTATATCCATGAAGATCATGTTTTATTTGAAGGAAATAAAAGAGGGGGGAGAGGAGGAAAGGGAAAATTTTTGGTTCAATTAAATTAAGATTTTGAGTGAAAGTAGTTATATGACAAACATATTTAATTATTCCTCTCTAGAATGCTGATTATTGAGGGTAAGGATTCAATTGATACATATGATTATTTGGGGCCTAGATCAATATATCATTGATATTTACCAATTTTTTAAAATGAGCATCTTAGTGGAGCAATATGAATAGCATTATCTGTTTAAACAGGGATAGTAATGGGTGTTACAGGATCAGAGAGTACCTCACCATTCCCGTACCCATTGCCATTCCATTCCCATTCATACAGATTGTGGAGATGGGCATCTTTGCGGGAACTTTCAATAGGGTGCAAGATTTGCCCTCGTCTTTGTTGCCCATCAGGAATGGGTCCCTGCAGAATTCACTCACTATCCCTCGTCAATGAATATTATAAAATTAATTTAATTATTTTTATTTTATCATTTTAAAACAAAATATTTTGAATAGTTGAGTTAAAGTAAAAAAATGTTAGAATTAGTTTGGTTTAAAAAAAATGACTTTAGTTTATTAAATTAAAAATTAAAATGAATAATGGGTTTGCCTATCATTATAAATTAAATATTTAAATTATGTTTTTTTTTATAATATTTGGTGGGAAATGAGGATGGAGAAAAATCTCCACAAAATTTTAAGAGGCAAAACTACTCCCTATCCCCGCCGTGCTCCTATGGCAAGGAGTAGGTGAAATTGTCATCCCTATTTTTAAGTGTTAAACCAAAAAATAAAAGTCTTGATTTTGTTAGGTGCCAAGTATGACTCTAAGTGCTCGATTAAGATTATTATAAAGTATTATAATTATATTATATTATATTATTAACTATAATTAAAATATATTT